ACCGCCTAGTAAGCATAGTACAAAAATTATCTGCTACAACGTCCTACCTGTCAATGACTACTTCAGCTTCAACCACAATAATACATGAGCACACAATAGATGCAAACTCAAGGTAAAACACTCCAAACTCGATTGCAGAAAATACGACTTCAGCAACAGAGTGATCAATGCCTGGAATGCACTACCTGACCTCATCCCATTCCTAAGAGGTCTGTAAGGGGGCTTGCAAAAGCACACCAGCATGCCTAACATCTCTGTCCTACTGTCCCCATTTATTTGTGTTCTTATTCATGTTTATTCTTTCCTATTATCTTGTACATGAGTGACAAACTAAATAAATAAAATAAATAAATGGTGGTCCCAAAGGTGTTTCTCCAAAAGGCAACTGGACTTTCTTGGGGTTCTTTTTCTTGAAAATGTTTCCCTTCTCATCCAAGAAACATCTTTAGTTCAGAATTGAAGGAGTTTCCTGAACGACAAGCAAAACATTTTCAAGGAAAAAAAACAGAGAAAGTTCAGTTGTCTTGGGGAAAAAGACTTTTGGGTTATGTAGTATAGAGGTCACATAAGAGTAACAACTTATGTCTCTATATTCTGGACCGGCTATAGTTTCTGATCAGTCTGCAAGGGCAAGTCCCATTTTCAATAAATTGCAAAAATTCAAACAGAAGGTGATTAAAATGCCTGTGACTAAGAGAAGAACTTGCTGATCCAGAAAACAGCGCAATTGTGTGCACCCCACCAGCCGTACTAAATATATTCTTAGTCTCTGTCGGAAAGAGATTAAGGTAATAGAAGAGAGACCAACCTTTTGAGGACAATCTCTTTAGCTCCTTCCCACACATCTACAATTCAACGATCAAAGTGGATTTTTGTACTTTGCCTCATCATGACTCTATAATCCTAAAGGAAAATATTCTAAGGGAATAAAACCATTAGAGGATTAATGCCACAAGTTGATTTGACAAAAAGGATTTGCAAACACTGAAATCCTATATTGCGTGCATTTAATCACCCAAAAAAATATTCTGAGGATTTTTATTTTCCATTTATTAATATTCCGGTTCATCCTAAATGGTACATAATGATTCAGTTTAGTATCAGTTTTATGCTATTCCCTTTATCTGAATTCTTCACTGCCGTACATTGCAACTGAAAACCGAATAAATGGGTGTATTATTTGATATGTATGCATCAAGGATGTAGACTTGATTCATACACATCACTTTCTCATCATGTTGTTTGCTTATGATTCAGAGTTATGCATAAACAAGCCAATTAGCCAACTGAGATCATGTTGAACAAAGCCAAATCTGGTTCAGGCAGTTGAATATATCGAGAAAGGTCTTTTCTTCAAAGCAAAACACTTTGGTCAGATGGAATCATACTAAGTCAGGCTTTAGAAATCAATGGATTTAGAAGGGATGATAATCATTCAATGGTTTAATTAAATTCAGGTAAAAATAACCTAATCCAATTTCTCTACATTTTTTTCAATACATTTGTAACTTTGTACAGTCATTAAAAGAATGGTTGTAAGTCAAGGACCATTGTGTTCAATTTTTTTTGTTTGTTTCTACTGTTCCTCAGAAAGAGGAGGAAGCCGAGAGGTAAAGAATTAGCATTCTAGGAAGCAGGAAAGAGAAAGCAAAGCATGCTGGGATACAGGACCAGATAGCGTAAAGCAGGTGTGTCCACCCATGGCTCGAGGTCCACATGCAGCTCTGGACAGCTAGTAATGTGGCCTGCACAAGATATTAAAAATAAAGGAAGTTTGTTATTTGTATCCATTAATGAAATTATTATATATTTTATATGCAGCCCAAGACAGTTCCTCCACTCATTTTGCTCAGGCAAGCCAAAAAGTTGGACAACCACATTGTGAATAAGTTTAGAACTGCTATGCAAGCTACCAAGGGTGATTGATGCCCATTGCTCTTATAGAAGAATCCACCAATGTCATCTATATTCTGTATTCATGTAAAGAAGGGTATTTAATCCTAAGGCATTAGGGCACCTGTGCCCGGCAAAGCATGATTGTTCCACCCTGTTGATTTTATCCTATTGCAACCAGAACTTCATGAGCTAGACTATGTCCATGGGTA